CAGACAAATCTACATTGATCACTACTTTAATAAGGGTACTTTCAAAAATGGATTAACTCTGTTCAAACACTAGTCCGATGTCAGATAAGGACGTCTGATAACACAAATAGTACCAAGGTACTTCACCGGCTGGTCAAAATGATAATTCTTAGATTCTTATGGGAATTTCTAATCTTGTAGAATTAAAACTGAAAAAATTCGAAGCGTTATTCCAGGAAATTAGTATCTGCCAAACCTACATCTTCTAACGAATGACTCGTTCAACGCCAGATTTCCTGGCATTATATTATTGTACCGCCTCTTTGTTCCCAGTTGCCTACGAGAAATATTTGGTCAGGTCATACCTCCATGGTATTTGAGTGCCGCAGTGCCAGATACATCTCGCATCATTCTGTCAATAAGAGCCAACTCCTCATGTTCATCACTAACAATATTTCAGTAGCTGGTACTAATAATATGCTACCGCTCGTGATAAGCGCGAGGTGGCTCTAGCGAACGAAATGATGCGATGTATATTGAACTGCACGTGCTCCATTATTGAGTAATTGTCAATGAATGGAAAAATTTGTAATTTAACTTCAAACCAGTGATTCGTTTCCACTGAAACTTCTTAAGGAACTTCATTTCTGTTGAAACTTCCCTGTTGAACCAATGAGCACGTTAAAAAGAGTTTTATTTTATTTACTTGCTTCAGTCACCACACTAACTTTACAACCGGAACTACAGATGTTTGAAGCTGTTGTAAGTAGGGAACAGTGATAAGTGGGCAAGTAATACGCTACAGTCTTCGACCTGTCAGCGACAGAATTACGAGAACACATGTAATAGTTAATCAGAATTCACGGCATTCGATTTTCCCCCATTTATCGGCTCAGATATCATGGAATTCGGTTGGGCACATGTGATGCTGATTAACATGATTGAACTGCATTTTGTACCATCTACAAGGCGTTATGACATTATGAGAATTACAACATCGTTATCATATTGTTGTATACGAGTTGACGAGCTTGAGTATGTCATTATACTATGGTTGCTGGTGTGTCAGTGTCCGTTCATGAAAAAAATGCAAGCATTATTGTGGCATATATTTTGGGGATTAAGATGGCTACAATACAGAGCAATCAACAGTCCATCAGAAAGGAGATCCATTGCTGTATTAGCACTTGGAGAAACCGAATCGCCAGAAGAAAAATTTGATTTGCCATGGTGACTCCAATGTTATATTAAGAATTCACTGATAGGTATATTTCATAATCCTTTTATCAACGCACGATTTTAGCCTATTACTGCCAAAGGAAAGTTTCTCGATCAGTAGGGTCAAAGCGAAGTGGTTTTTGGACCCACGTAAATTAACAGTCATACTTGGACATAGGAGAGGGGCGAAATGAGGATAAAATCCTGCAAGAGTCAGAAGGCCAGGATTACGAAGTTGGCATTGTTGCTTTGCGCTTTCAGTGCATGACTTGTTATAGGAGTGTAACCTTAGAACGGAAATGCGATATAAGCTTTGGGCATGTGTCGCATGATTATTTTCCTCTGTGTTTTGTAAAGTAACATCCAGTAATCTTGCTGTTCACACGTATAGATTAATTTGTCACAACTGCATGTTAATGCAAGTTTTTTTAGTTCTGCAAATATACACGTTTACATCACATAAATTACGCAACATTTGTACCTATCAATAAAACAGTGTAAAGCGCATATTTAAAACTTTAGCAGTAAGGTATATAAATAGACAGTGCTATAATAGGCATCATGAAAATCAAACAGAGTAGCCTAGGGGGAGAGAAAGGTCCAACTAAAGAACGCTTAGGAAAGAAGCACTGAAAAGCGAGCGACTGTGAAGTACTGTGCGAGTAGCAAGCAACGAGACAATAAACTATATACGTATGATAAGGTGTACCAGTAATGAAAACCAGCAAGTTTAGAAAACAAATGACGTTATAGAAACGTCTGTAAATAGTAAGCAAATAAACATTATGAATGGAATTTATCGGAAGAAAGCACAGAAAGAGCCGAGAAACAGAATTACAGACTATCAGTGTTGTAAAAAAATACTTTCGGATTTAAGTTGTAGAAGGAAGGCTTACGCCTAAGAACAGCACAGTCAGAAATCTTCTGAAGAGATAGCAGTTGCATCATTCAGGTAGCAAAGGAAAATATGTAGTGAGGAAAGCAAGGCCAGCTGACAAAGAAATGAACGCAACAAATGTAAGAGAAAAAATTATTTTCGGCAAACAACAGAGGATATGGAGGGACAGCAGTTGTTGCACAAAATTTGCGAGTGTAGAAAGGAATAAATGAACATTGAGAGAACAAAGAAGATGAGTAAAACGTAAAAAATATACCACATGGCAGAAAGGAAAATAACATGCGGAAAGTTAAGGAAAAAAATCTTATGAAAAGATCTAGAAGAATCAAAAGCAAAGTAACGCCACAAATGTAACGAAAGGGTGCATACGAATATCAGCTGAGAAGCAAAATACAAACAAGATAGAGCAAGTGGCACACAACGCCTCGTATTTGGGGTAAGAAAACCCCTACCTTGCTGAACGGAGTGATAAGATAAAGTATGACGAGTCAGCAGCTGCAGCAAGTAATGATGAAAAAGTAGCATAGAAAGAACATAAAGGGCGTCAAAAATGTATGTGGGACAAGAAAGTAACCTATCGAAACAACCAATGAGTGAGGAAACTCAAAGAAATACTTCTGGAAGGAGAGGAAGAAAAAGATAGCAACAAAACATCAAAATACTTACGTACTAATGCTCACTTTGAAGTTCGAACGTAAAAAATAATGAGACAGAACAAAAGCAAAAGAGCACAACGTGCGGATAACAAGCACCCTCTTACTGTGAAGGGCAGAACGAACGAAGCAAGATGGTGGAAACAAGAAACAAGAATAAAAATGCCATAAGGACGTGCCTAATGACAAGGTTGCTGTTTGAAAGAAGAAAAAAATGATGGAGAAAAAAGCAAAATCATACGGACAATGACGGATTCTGGCGGAATCGATCTCGTCATTCTCGGAGTCGAAGCCGATGCAAACAGGATGGCGACAGTAGCAAAAATATAGGATAAGGGCAAAGACAAAGACAAAAGAAACAATTCGAAGTTAAATTAGAAATAGAACACAGCCGAAAACATTAGAAGCATAATCAAACAACCCGAAACGCATACGAAATTATACTAATTGACTTGTGGAATAGCACACGAAATTGGAATCGCCAATGGGAGGGAAGCGCTGAACACCAGATATCGAAACTGGGAGTGAATAGTGACGCAAAGTTTATTGACAGATTTACACGCCGTTCTTTCTGATTGGACAATATGAGAATGGATTTTCGGGTATTACCTTCACTTGCGTGAAATGAGTGAAATAAGTAATTTTGTGAAAGTGTTAAAGATATACTTGGGTATGTTCCTGCTGATCGTTATTGTAGAAATACACTACTTATAACAAATGTTGTGATGCGCTTAATTTTGAGTGCCTTAGTAAGATTTAGGAACGTTCGTTATCCGTATTACAGAAAGATGGCCAGCGTGGCTTCGGTGGACTCTGAAACATTTGAGCGGCTGCCTAAAAATGTGAAGCCGTACAGATATCAGCTAAAGATTCAGCCATTTTTGGATACTTTCACTTTCGAGGGAGAAGAACATATCAATATTAAGGTAAGGCTTGAATGTGTCATTTATTTTATAAGCTGGCCCTGGGAGTATTTTAAATTGATTTTTTGTGCTATATGCTCTTTGGATACTGTTCATTTTGTGTATTGCATGCAGTGTCAGCATCTTGTTAAGTTTTATTTTTAACGAAAATAATTCGTTTCCGGTAATATTTTCCTCGTCGTCTGCCTGTTTTGGAATGAAGTTTTATTATTTCAAATGAGCTAATCCACGGTGTACATCCGAATTCAAATTACGACGTATCCGTGATACAACTGTATTCGTGTTTAGACTTTTCCACAATTTGGTAAATGACATATACAGTGTGCTCCGTCTTAATACGGACTAACAATTCTTTGCGACTGTATTGAATCTCACCGTAAGTACTCTTGCTGCAGTGAGATCCAAGCATTCGACTGCACAGCATCGGTTGCAAGCTTTACAAGAGTTGCCGTTACCTGGTTGTTTTTTCTGAACTTCATATTCTGTTGTGAATAGTCGATCAGCGAGAACGAAACATGGATTGACCTTATTATTAACTTTAACATTGAACTTGTTCATTAATGAAGGAGGAAGACGGGTGTAAGCAGCGCAGATTAGACGTCCCTCCTTACTTCTTTCGGTTTTTCCACATGATGGCATCCGGACCAGCCGATTCCAATCCGTATTCGGTTTGCTCTGTTAGAGATTAATGCAATCTATTCAGGCTACGTTCATGTTCGTATGACCGAAATTGCTCTCGAACTTTTTGCTCTATCGACTGAAACTAGTCTATTGACCGACTACGTGGGCGTAACGTCGTTTATTTTCTGTGTGCGCAGTGGTTCGGTTAGTCAGTCACACACGGCGCGAATTGATGTTGGTGTCACCAAAAATGAGTCGAACACGCTTCGTGTGCTGTTGCCAGCTGCTTAGTAGTAAAGTTATAATCGTTATACGTAGTAGTCGTCATAACCTGTACACAGCGGCCGATTCGGTGCCGCTAAACTTACTTACTGCCAGAAGCTTGGCTAAAAGTTGTCCGGTGTATTTTGTCACCGTCATCGTGACCTAAGCGATAACATGTTCCTTGCTTTTCGCCAGTTTTGCTGGCGCCGCTTGTTCACCAACGACATGCACCAACTTTGTTGCTCCGTTTGGTCCAGCCAGCCTCACTTTCTTTTTCGTCGTTGTCGATAAACAGGCGGAAGCGAGCGACGACATCGATGGCAGCGATAATAAGCAGCACATACTGCCGTGGTGGCCGTTCCGTGTCAGTTGTGTCTTTTTTCCTCTTTCGTGTTCATGCCATTTGGTGTTTAACGTTTGCGCTGTTGACAAGCT